GGGGGGCTCTGTGCAGTGCTGGAGAGGGACTCCTCCCCTCCTTTCCCCCCACTGCCATGGGGCGGGGAGGGGGGCTCTATGCAGGGCTGCCAAGCCCTGGAGAGGGACTCTTCCCCCCCAGCTCCTCCCCACACCACAGGGTGGGGAGGGAAGCTCTGTTCCATGCTTGGGGATACTCTTCCCTCTCCTCCTACTCTCCCTGCCTCCACTGCTGCCGGGTGGGGAGGCGGGGGCTCTGTGTCCCTGACCCATGGCGGTGGGGGAGGTGCAGACAGCCTTGCAGAGTCCCTCTCCCCATCCCCTGGTGGCAGGGTGGAGATGAGGACAGGGAAGAGTCCCTCTCCATCCCTGAACAGAGCCCCACCTCCCCACCCTGCAGCGGTGGGGGAGAGGGAGGAGGGGGAAGCGTTCCCTTCTGGGGCCAGGCCAGGCAGTGCTGTGTGCTGGGATTGCTCCTGGCTGACAGCAAGCCGCTGTCAGGGCAGAGCTTTCTCCTCTTCCTCCTCTTTTTCTCCCATGACACAGTGATCTAATCACATTTCCTCTTCTTCTACCCTGTGAACCCTGCAGGCCAAGGTTGGGGTTTAAACCCCTCCTCAGTCTTACTCAGGCCTACTGGGGCCTGGCCATGCCCTCCCCGCTCCCCCTTGTCAACTCAGCTTCCCTGTGGAAGGGAAGGGAGGGCTTCTGTAGTGCCCCCAGTCTCCTGGCCTGAGCCATTGCAGGCACGTGCCTGCATTTCCAGAATGAAAAGGGAATGTCTATCCACTTGCAAAATCATTCAATCTCTGCAGGTTAGATTAACCTGCAAAATTTGAATCAATTCAGGCTTGGGCTTTTTGAATGCCTGTCCCTACCCAAAATGTTTAAAAGGCAACAATATGTTTAATTCTTTCCAAGTGCAAATTATCTGTTTACTTCGTCACCAATTTTAGAATAGGTCAAATCTGAGTTGACACCTGCATGTAACAATGGTGGAAGTACAATCACACACTTTTGCTTCTTTCACATCTTAAAAATTAGGAAAAAGTGGATTTTTACCTTTAAAATCAGGGATGTTTGGTTCCAAAGTTTGAAACTCAAAGTACAATTTAAATCTTGCCTTTTAATTATCTGCAGACTATGTTTTAAACCTGAAAAGAGTGTTAATTGAACTAAACATACATACATATATATATATTGTAGTCGCATGGAATTTTAGTTAGGCAGTACAATGAGCCTTGGGTGGTATTATCTTCAGTGCAGAGGGTGCTTTTTTTATTTTATTATATACAGTACACATTTCTATAATTCATCAGTATCCTTTTGAATTCTAATTCCCTTAATCCATTTAAGCTAGTTGCAAATAATTTCTGGTTCAGTAAGAATAATGTTGTAATGTTTTACTTGCTGACTTATGCATTTCAAAACTTTACTGATTCTATATAATTATTAAAATACATATATAAAGGATTTTCCCCTATTTTGTCTACCTGAACAACTCTTGTTTTAGTAAAATGATTGCTAGTTCAAATGACATTTGTAATCGTCCTACAGATTTTTGGGGATATAGTTCACCAACTGGCCTTTAAGAGTTCATTCAAAGGATTGTCACTCAATTTTTCAAGAGCTAAAATGTATTCCTACAACTCATTTTTAGTACTCATCTTTTCATATAGATTACCTAATGCAATCTCCAACTTTCTTTATCCTAGGATGGTGGGAACATTGTTATATGTTAGAAAAGTACTAACAGCATTATGAACTCATGAACCCCTCATCAAGGTGCCACTTCAGATTAAATACTTACATTAGTCTGTTGGTTTATAGATCTTAGTGGATAGTAATTTGCTATTTAGCAATTGAAGGATGAAGCCGATGTCACAAGAAGTTAAAGCAAATAGCTTTATATGTTGTGGCAAGTTCAGTGGAAGCCTAAGTCAGTTTCTGGTAGAGGTGGGTCTAGCACAGAATCCAGTATCTGAATACTTATACTTCTGGTCAGTGGTGGTTTTTTTCCCAGCATTTACCTATAGGCAGGTCAAGTGCCATGTTTTTCTTTAATCAGTTGAACCAGAATTGGAGATCTAAATTAATAAATGTGGACTGGCAAGGATTATTTAATATTATCATTTGCAGTAGCACTTTTGGAATTAGTAAGTGGAAGATACTTTATCTACTCAGTGGGCCTGTCTACGTGTGCATATTTACTGTGCAGTAATTTAGGTTACTGTGCAGTAACTGAAAATTGCTGTGCAGTATGGGCATGTATCTACATGTGCACACCCGTACTGTGCAGTAACTATGGTAACTTGCACTGAATTGGGTGCACTGAATTTGATACATGATGCAGGTATCAAATTAATGACCAATTAGTTACTGCACAGTAACACACGTGTAGACGCGTTACAGCACACTAACAATGGGCGTGTGGACTGACTTGGTACTAACTTTAGTCTCAAGTGAGCCCACACACAGCATTACTGGGTTTTAATGGCTGCACATGTAGACTCTGGCCTAAAACTGCTTAGTGCACAGTAAATACACATGTAGACACATTCTGCAGGTAGACAAAGTAATGAAATGTTACTAGCTACAACTACAGTTCCTAAAGTAAAATGGTATATATTAGGTGAAAAAATTAGCTTTAGCCATTAATCTGAGATTTTCTAAAAGGGAAAAGGCAGGAGTTTTCCTATTTTTAAGTCTTAGTTTACTGTATTAGTCATCTCTGTTCTGTTTCTAGGTACTGCAGTTTTTAAGCTCCTCTTAGCATGTTTAAGCCTTTGACAGTAATAAATTAAATGTAGCTTTGCTGTACCAATTTTGCTTTGCAAATAATTAATTAATTCGGATTTTTATAGAGAACTACTATTATTTAGTTCGCTGTTAGTATACCATATTTTAAATATTAAGGTTTAATTCAGTGTTTGTATGGCATTGCCATTACAAAAGTCAACATCTGAAGTACTTAATATAGTATGTTGTTGACTTTGTATTGGAAAACGTTGTTGAATAACTTTAAGGAATGAATAATCAGTCCTTGTACTTTTATAACTGCTCTCACTGAAAGAAAAGTGCTGTAATAATATTAATTTAGCATTTGTGGCATATGTGGGACCTTTGAACATTTACTGTAAATTATATGGACCATATTTTAAAAGCCTGTAATATTGAGAGGTTCACAATACAACCTAATTGGTTTTATCAGCTATAATTCCAATCACTCTGCAAACAGATGTTGCCCTTGTGCCACCATGAAATTACTGATGGTGGCACAAAACCCAATCAAACAGACATCTATATTTGTCACATGACAAATGCCCCAAATTGTGGCCACAATAATTTATAGTAATAGTTTGTGCTACATTTTCAAGGTGGACATCTGTTTGATTATGGCAACAGCTGCCATGAGAAGGCACTACTGGGGCTTTATGACCATGGCTTCAAGTGCCTGGTCCCCCTACCTTAGGCCCACATCTGCAGGCATGGAGCAGGGGCACGATGGGCTTCCCCTCTATGCTTCCAGACACATGCCTTGGATTTTGCCTTCAGGTTTGGAGTGGGGAAGATCATCTCCCTTCACTTGCAGATGTGGGGTGTGGTGGTATGAAATGAGTGCCAGGAATCCTCTGGTGGGCATTCTGGGGTGCATATCTGCATGTCTGGAGGCACCCAGTCCTGCAGGATGATATCTAGGTGTGAGTCTGCAAGCAGAGGAACCCCTGAGGGTACCCCTGTTTCCAGACACAGGGCACAACATTGTGAAACATATGCCAGGAATACCCTGCAGGGGGCTTCTAGGGGCATGCATTTCATACTGCTGTGCCCTGGTTTGGGTTGTGGTATGCAGACTGCACTGGAAATAAACATTGGAACATATGTAGTGTAAGCCCAAGTGCATGAAAGCCCTCGACTGAAGTGGCTGTATGACCTAAGTAAATCAATACAAGTTTTATCAGTGCAATATCTGTAGAAGTGTTCAAAAATGTGTTAAGATACCAGAAACCACCCCCACAACACCACCAGCATAGGATTGTCCTCTGGAGTAAATTTACTGTTTCTACCTAGTCTTATTTTAATGGTTTCATCCACTGGAACTTTCCTCATGTCCATTAGGGGCCTAGTACACATCTCAGTCGGTCCCATGGACTATTACAGTTTGCTAACAGTAACTTTAGAAATGTTGCTGTTTTCATTACATTCCTAGCTATGCTCCTTTTACTTACTTAAACATTTCATTTCTCCTCCAGTCTGTAAATCATTTAAATGTTTGTAATCTGTTGAAAAGATCTGCCCCACCTTCTTAGTCAATTTAAACCAATTGTGTATTTGACAGTTGTGATTTTTTCCAGCTTCTCAGTCATATTGTTGGTATTGTATTCTGACATTCCTCCAATTTGTCAATATTTTGTTGTCAGTGAAGAGTCCAGGAATTGATTTCAGGTCCAGTAGTATCAGAGATGCATGCAGGAAGCCATTTTCAAATCTATTACTACTGTGTAGGAAGAGGAGAACCAAACATGATTGATTTTACAAATGCCCAACATTGTTTAGTAACTTCAATGGGAACTGGGTTAAGCTGATGGTGAGAGTTTTTGAGCATGGCATCTTAAAATTCAAATTAATTGATTATAAGGTCAGAAGGGATCATCATCTAATCTGTTTTCTTGTACCGATGATAGGACTTCCCTGAATTAAGTTTTGTTTAAACTATAGCATATCTCTTCTTTCTTGCCATTTCCTATTCACGAGTCATAGATGTGATTAGCTAACAGATGTGACACAATTAGCATGCTGATAAACTATTTTACAGCACACAGTGGTTTGAAGGTGCCTGTAAATAATGTGAATCTTCCATACGATTCCATACCTTATCTTGTTCATATTATTATATATCATATTATATACCATGCTAGAGTGTTCAGGGACAGGGAGTTAATTATTGTTTTGTTTCAAAGAAGAGCCAAATTTTGATCCAACATGGCAATAAGTCATTTTTGTTTTTTTAATTTATACAGACTGCACAAGGTGGGGGTCATCGAACGCTCCTATATGGACATGCAATATTACTGCGCCATTCATACAGTGGCATGGTATGTATGGATTTGGCCTTTGCATTTCTGAATTGATCATAGTCCTGGTACATACTTTTTTTTGGTTATATGGTAACAAGAGCTGATAATATTCCAACTATGGCCATTTCAAATTATTCCATTATTATTTACACTAGAGAAGTGTTTCACTATTCAAGCCATTCAAGATACCTACTCTCCACAAAAGTTAGAAGACTTGTAACAGGAAACAGTATCTTTCATTTCTAGACACATTTTGAAATCCAGATTTGGCTGACACTGATACTGACAGATTAATATCTTTATCTGCCTGTGTTAAATGAGTTGGTGATTTCTTATTTTTTTTCTCAATAGACAGATGTCTGCATTGCATAAACTGCAGCATCTCTACAGCTGGCTCTGGCTGACAATACAAAAATAAGGCAGACACTGAACGGGGAGATTTCTTGATGTAGTATAATTCAGAATTAAATCATGATATTCTCAATTGTCTAATAAGCTGTATGAGTTCCAAACTGATTAACATGCATATAAAAATCTAATAACTGGACTTTAATGTCAATAATACTTCTTACTTGCAGACTTGCTTTTTTCTATTTTAACAGACATGCAGTAGATAAAGATTGACAGGTTCTTTAAGAACATTTATCTTTGTCAGTCTGCCTGCCTATTCTGATCAAGAAGCAATTAAATTCCTTATACTTTCATATAGAACGCTTAGGATTTTCTAGGAACCAGTATACAGTTCTATAATAGGAAAGTTACAACCTTATCTGTCCAGAATAAAAACCAGATACGAGCTGAATAAATCATACCTGTTTTCTTTTCTTGGTAGTACCTTTGTTGCCTCTCCACCTCTCGATCATCAATGGATAAATTGGCATTTGACGTGGGATTGCAAGAAGACACAACAGGTAAATATAATGCCACTAAGATTATCTTGAGGCTAATCAGGAGATGAAATGGGTTATAATTGCAAAGAAACTACTTGAGAGAGGCATGGTGGCGGGTTATTTTTTTTAAATGTCTGGTAAAATAAAACTTAAGGTTCTTCAGCAACATTACCTTGGTTTTGTTGCACACATGCAGTATTTTGTGTGTAATTTTTTTCCTTATAGAATATGTAGTTTAATGTTTTTTGTGTCTTTTTAGGCTGTTAAAAGTATAGAATATAAAGGATTAAGAATTTGCTATTACTGTAGAATTATCATCTTGTGCATCTTTGAAATCTTTTGCTTTCTATTACTGTTATTTAGAGGTGGACTGATATATTGGTCCATGTTGGATTAGCACCGATAAAAGAAAAATTGACACTATTGGCAATCGGCTGTTTTTGGCTGGTGTAGTCAATAATGTCACCAATAAATGCCACATGCATGTGTGCAGTCACAGCATGCACACAGCCAGGAATGCAGCCCAGCAGCTTGGAATAGAGCATCCAGCTGGTAAGTCTGTGGGGAGGGGGTTGCGGGGGATGTGCAGATTGAGGCTCCCACAGTGAGGGGGAGGGAGTGGGGCTGGGTCAAGGGGCAGGCACAGCCCAACTGGGGTGGGGCAGAGTATGGGACAGAGCCATGGGTGGCTCATCTTTGGGGCGCTGTGGGTGGCTTATCTTCCCCTCAGGTTTGTGCACAGGGTGAGGATGGGCTACCTGCTGTGGGCTCAGGGTCAGGGGCTGCACTGGCCTCTTCCTGGCAGGGGGGCTGGACCAGGGCTGTATTCAGGGCAGGCAGCAGTGGTGCTGGGAGGGGTGGCTATGGGGTGGGCTACAGCCACCCCCAAATTCCCTGTAACCACTCCTTGCAGCACCACCACTGCCTGAGTACAGCACTGGTCCAGACTCCCGTCCCCCCTTCCCTGCCAGGAAGAGGCTGGTGCAGCCTCTGGCCCCAAGCCCTTGCCTTGTGCACAAATCCGGAGGGCACATGCCCCCCCATGCCTCCCCAGCCTTCGTGCAGCCAGAGAGCTGCCTCCCTCTCCCTGGCCCCCTGTGGCTCCATCCCACCCCAGCCCCAGCCGTACTCCTTCCCTTATCATGGGGGCCTCATTCTACCCCCTCATGTCCCTTCCCTCCTCCACTCCCCTTCCGTCCTCCACAACCTCTTCCCCTGTACAGACTTTCTGGCCAGATGCTGTTTTCCAAGCTGCTGAGCTGCACATCATCTATCAGATCAGTATCAGCCAATATTGCTGGTTAATAATTGGCCGTCGGTACTGGCCAAAAAAAATCTTTATCAGTGCACGCCTACTATTAATATTAAAGTTGCAGTATTGTAAGTATTTTGACTTCATTCAGATTTTTAGAAATCAGGGAAGAGAAAAATAACTTATGTCCTTGGCACACATGTACGCATGTGCATATTCCTTGGCATAACAGGGTTGCCTTCTGGAGGTGCCCAGATTATCTTCTTTCTGTTTCCCAAAATGGGAGACTTGAGAACTTCTACAAGGTGCAATAGGTTTGGGTAGGGGGTTGCATTAGGCTTTCTATTAACACCGTGGGGCACTTAAGTGCTTCAGAGGTATGATAGGGAGGCATTAACCAACAAAACCAACATTAACGTATATATGAAGTCTTAAGTTACATAGACATTAGTAAGAAAAAAATTAAAACTGAACGCAAAAACAGTCTTAAGCATTTCGTTTCTGTTACTGTTTCTCCTTCACCTATGGAAATAAAGGTGAGGCCTGCTGGTGGACCATCCACCCTGCCTCCAAACAACGATCAGAGGGAGAAAAAGTGCGTGTTGGAGATGACCTCATCTTAGTCAGCATCTCCTCAGAAAGATACTTGGTAAGTGCTGCAAGACTACCTAGGTAGTGCTTGTGTTACAGTAAAGAAATATTCTAGGAAATGAGATGGAAATTAATAGAATCATAAAAAAATATATATTAGAGTTTGGTTTGCAAATTATGTTTCTAAATAATAGACTAAATAACATAATCTCAACTGTTAAAATTACTTGAGAATTAAGAGTTCAATTTAGATAATATGTAAACTAAGACTTCAAGGATCTGGAATAGTGACATAGGTATTTATGATAATGTTGATATGACTGATTCTTGCATTAAGTTACTGCTATTATAAGAATTAAACAGTTAATTATGAATTCACAGTAAAGATGACTCAACCTTAATTGTAGAATTGAGGCAATTTTAAGGGTGTTTCAGTGTTGTGAGATTTAACAGCAAGTTGAAACAGGAAATGAAATCTTGCACCAGAATAAAAAGGACGTGTGAGTGTGTATGTGTATCCCATCTTTTCAGTGTATTTTTATAATGTTAATGTTGCAAAGCAAACTGGTAAATTAAAGAAAGATCATTTAAAAGGAGATTATTACTCAAAATTCATGGGGGAATAATTATGCATTTCAACTGAAATTTAACTGAAATATTTAGAAAAAAAATCCAAAAAACCAGAAAACCTCTTAAATTTTTTGTATTTAATATTTTTTATTTACATATATAATTTGCATGAGTTTTTCATTTTAATGCTTTTTTTTAATGTTGTTATAGTTATATAATTTATTGACCAGGTGTGCTCTTCTACTACTGCTCCCATGGTGTAATATGAAATACCTTGTTTTTATTCTTTTTTTTTTTAAATGAGGACAGCTGCTGCTTAATATTGATTGAAATATCTTACTTGCTTTATTAGATCAAAGTACCTCCTGCTTTTATTGTAATGAAATGGTCTGACACTTTTTAATATGAGGACACAACATAACTTTTTCTAACTCTGTGGAAACAGCTGAACTGCTTTGTCTGACATTTCCAAAAATACTTAACCTGCGACAAACACTCAGCACAGAAAATTTCAGCCCGAATTCTAGTTTGGCAATGTTGTATTTAATTGAAAACAGGATCTTATAATGGAAAGTGTTTGGTGACTGTTGTTGTTGTTGTTGTTATTATTATTATTATTATTATTACTGTGCTAATAATGATAACAATATTTTGTATTTGGACTTTTTATCTTGATAAGTCAGTCTCTCTGGAAATTATCTCATGCAAGGTGGTCTCATACAAGAAGTAAGATACAGGCTACATACAGACATTCAAAAAGCTTGAGATGGAATTGATCTAAGTAAGTTATGTGGTTTTCTCTAGGTGGTGTATTTTAGATTGGTAATGAACTAAACACACATTTGCCCTGGGGGGTGGGGTTGGGGGAGGGTCCTTAGACTGGGTTCCACCTTTTTTAAACCGGTCTGTGTGCCAAACTTATGATGGTATAGACTGGTTTCCAATCGCTTATACCAGTAAAAGTAATAATGTCTGTACCTGGCAACAGGCAATGCTTTTCTTTGGTACAATGGGTTTTCTATACCCAAATGTCTTATGTGCTCACAATTCATAACTTTTATTTTAGAAAAAATACAGCAAATTCATGTGCTGATGTATTTGGTCCCCTGATCTCACCCATTTGTTTATTCACTGTAAAACAATGTGTGCTAGACATTAAGTGTTTTTTCTTTATCATATTTCAGTTACTTAGGTTGTCTGGTAGGAGGAGGAATGGGATTTCAGAGTGGCAGTTAAGCAACCCCTTGTATGCAATGCAAAACCAGATTTGAAATGGACATGTTAGTACAGTTAATAATTTAAGGTTTCATGAAATATATTGTATTAATATCACTAAGAAAATTATTTACTACTTACACAGTACTTTGGGTTAATATCCAACTGGCAGCATGTGGGCTGCACTATAGTCTGTGAGGAGTTAACTTTTATCCCACTGGTTGCTTCCTGCTATTGCTTTAGCTGCAGCTGCTGGGCTCTCTTGGCTCCCTTTTTCTCCTCCAGCTTCTGCTTCCTGCCCCACACTCCAAAGTTGATGCTGGGGATCAAGATTGTGTTGTTCAAACTCTAGCCAGAACTTAGAAATAACAACCTCTCCCTGCTCTAATAAAAATGAACTGAGCCAGCAATCGAATGATTTTGGATGTGTAGTTAGGCTTCCAACATGCTGAGCATAGACAAGCTCTTTCTAAAGAACATGGCCCGATGGCCTCTCTCTCCCCCTCCCCTCTTGATGATCAGAATGCGCTTGGTGGCCAGCATCACTGTCCAAGTATAACAAATTAAAGTAGTCAGAATAGATGTTTTCTTTACTAAAACAGCTCTAAGGAATTCTGTCTAGCCTAAATCAGCCTTCATTGCTGCTGATCCTTGCGTCTCTGACAACCTGCTTGAGGTACCAGGGAATCTGTTGCTGCTTTCAGTGACAGAGACTATGGGGAACTTTGTGGGAATGGGAAGAGACTGGAGACCAATTGAGATGGGTTCCAGCTTTTCTGCTCACCTCTTTGGTCATGTGATACAGGTCACTTCAGTGATATGAGTGCCAGTATCCTTGCTATAAGCAGCTAGGATACCTAGTTTATTTTCTGAATGCTTTAAGATCTTTAGATAAGAAGCATTGTATAAGAGCTGAGTGTAGTTGTGTTATAAGATCTGGATTTTGCTCTGGCCACTTATTGTCAGGGATGGGATTTGATTCTGTATAACCCACTCAGTTGAGATCAAAAAGATGTTTTGCTCTAACTAGTCCTTAAGGTTGGGCCCGGGTCCAGGTTATCTTCTCTTGCTGCAGTACAGATCCATGAACAAATCTAAACAGTGTCAGGATGCACCACCAAGTTGTGTATATTTTTAAATTTGTTTTGGCACAGAAGCATTTTTAATATAATATGATTAATAGCATACCACAGACCTTTCAAATATACTAGTTTTTAATAATCTAGAAATCTAATTAGTTTTTGTATGTTTCAAATTGATAAAGTGTCTGGACGGCAAGGAATTTTTAATCTTTTAAACATCACTCAGAACAAATTCCATGCTCGTGAATGTGAAATGCAAGAAGAATATGCAAGATGAAGCAAAATTTAGGAGAACAGCAAGCCATCCTTACCCTTTAAAACAACCGTGATATCAGGAAAGAGGCCAGTGATACTCAGATGGAGAAATAATTAGAAAAGTGAAGAAAATTAATTTGGAAACTTGGGAAGTTTGTTTTTCCCATTTGTAGATTTTCAGTACTATGGAACAATTTCTATGCATATAGTTGCTGTACTGATTTATAATGCTGGTCTGCAGCTGTATTATGCAAATCCATAAATAAGGCTAGCTAAGGTAGCTAAAGTATCTGAAGGCTGCTTCTTTTTTTTGCATATAAGATGACAATGTCTGAAAATGCAAGAAAGTAATATTCTGTTCTCATTAGAAAGAGAACTTTCTCCCTGAAGGGTTTTTTTTTTATCATTGTAGACTGAAGGGTCTTTTCCAAAACTTTTCCTACTAAAGTGCAGGGAATTTTTCTTGTACAGAAAACCTGTCATGTGTTGCCTTTCTAGGATGAGTGAACAACTGCTTATGAAAATGGGGAAGGTCTTCTGGCAACAATACCATTTTTATTTTCAGTTCCTTGTATATGCCAGGTTTCTTGCATCTCCCTGTTGGGCCTGATATAGGGTAACACCTCCTCCTGAAAATAAATCTGTACAGTCGATATCAGAATGATGCTGAGTAGATAGCACAGCTGATATATTAAGACAGCCCAGCACTTACCGTTGTAAGATTTTTATTTCAGTTGCTTAAGGAACTGTTAAGGAATTGAACTGACATCCAGTTTTCAGTTTGGAAAACAGGCAGAAGTCTTCACTGACCCAGGACAGAAGGCAGAGAGCCCTGGAACCTACCTTCCAGCCTGCAGGCCAAGCTGAGGCTAGCTTGGAGCAGGTCCTCAAGGAATCCATTTCTAAGCACTTGGACGAGAAGAAAGTGATCAGGAACAGTCAGCATGGATTTAGCAAGGGCAAGTCATGCCTGACCAACCTGATTGCCTTCTATGATGAGATGACTGGCTCTGTGGACATGGGGGAGACCAGTGGATGTGGTGTACCTTAGTTTTAGCAAGGGTTTTGATACGGTCTCCCATGTTCTTGCAGGCAGGCTAAAGCAGTATGGGCTGGATGAATGGACTGTAAGGTGGATAGAAAACTGGCTGGAGCATCAGGCTCAGAGGGTAATAGTCAATGGCTCGATGTCTAGTTGGCAGCTAGTATCAAGTGGAGTGTCCCAGGCAGAGGTGTAAAATTTCAGGAAATGTTGTAGCCGTGGGAAAAAAATCCATGGTTTTTTCCTGTTTTTTTCAGGAAAATAAAGGAAATTTGGGGGAAAATTGAAATATGTGCAATATTTATTTTCTTATCTATCTACTACTTTAAGAACATAAACTATGTTTTATATAACTTGCTTAGCACATAAAATTGTAATGTTTGGTATATTTATGAAATTTAAAAGTACAAATGCCTTATTATTATTTGAATAAAACTAAGGCATTTAAAATAATTATTTGTAATTATTGTTATGGATGGAGCGGCAAGCTGCTGCACCCTAAGGTACTTAAGCATATCTTATTTTTTGCCAGTTCATGAGAACAAGGAAAAAAAAATAAAATTTGAAAATAGAAACCATCAGCACTGAAGTAAACAAAAGGAAGTTATTATTGTCTGGACTTAGAAAGTATCCTCCATACAGTCAGCAGTCTCCAAAAATAGAAGAAACTCCTATTTTTAGAAAAAGAGCTCACAAAAACAATCCCTCTAAGGCTGGAGACAAAATTCAGCACATGAAACCAATGTGTCTTTTAAACAATCAAATATATCCTTGAAAATATTAGCATCACAAGTTTCTTTGTCTAATCAGTGAGACTCAGTTTCTGAAATATCACTGTTTTCTGATTCTGAATCTGAACCTTCATTTTTATCTTCACGGACTTCATGCAAACTT